AGTGGGCCCCCCCAGCCTGTCACCAGTGGAGTCTGACGGGGAGAGCGAAGCCTGCGACTGTGCAGAGCAGAGGGTGGGAATGAAACAGCACGGGCACAAGGTGACACCCTCACCCACCCCGGCCCCCCGCATCCCGGGGGGGCTGCTGGACTTCAGGCACCCTCTTTGCTGAAAGCCAGGGCACGTTGTCTGAGACTGAGGTGATGCAAAAGGAGGATGGACTGGACGACTGGAGAGAGTCAAGAGGCTTCAGAAGAATAAACTGACTGAGCGAAGAGACAGTCCCTTGTGTTGGCAGGGATGCACTTGAGAGCTCTTCAATTTTGGTAACAACTTACTTGTGAGGTAGTGCTGAGGGGTCCACACAGCTACCAACTCACGCTGAAGAGTGAAGAAGTTATCCCCCAAGTTTGCTGATGATACGAAACTGGGAGGTGCTGTCAACAATTTTGAGGGACAAAATGCCTTGCAGGGGGATCTGGATAGATCGGAGCATTGGGCAATGATTAATGGGATGAAATTTAACAAGACCAATGTCAGATTCTGCACCTAGGATGGAGTAACCCCCGGCACAAGTATAGACTGGGAGAGGAGTGGCTGGAGAGCAGCCCTGCAGAAAAGGATCTGGGGATGCTGGTCAGCAGCAGGATCAATGCGAGTCAGCAGCGTGCCCGGCAGCCAAGGGGGCAAACCCCAACCTGGGGTGCATCAAACCCAGCGTAACCAGCCGACCAAAAGAGGCGATTAACCCACTGTATTCAGCATTGGTGCGGCTTCACCTTGAATACCATGTGCAGTTCTGGGCCCCACAATTTAAGAAGGATGTTAAGTTACTCAAATGTGGCCAGAGGAGGCTGGAACGCATGCCCTGTGAGGAGCAGCTGAGGACTTTGGGTTTGTCTAGTTTGGGGAAAAGGAGGCTGAGGGGCAACCTCATTGCTCGCTGCAGCTTCCAGAAGAGGGGATGTGGGGAGGGAGGTGCTGATCTCTTCTCCCTGGGATCCAGTTATAGGACGCCTGCAAAGCTGCTCCAGGGGAGGTTTAGACTGGACGTGAGGAAGCATTTCTTTCCTGAGAGGATGGTCAAACCCTGGAATGGCTTCCTAGAGAGGTGGCTGATTCCCCAAGCCTGTCAGTGTTTAAGAGGCATTTGGACAATGCCTTTGACAACGTGCTTCAGGTTTTGGTCAGCCCTGAAGTGGTCAGGCAGTTGGACTAGATGATCGTTGTAGGTCTCTTCCAACTGAAATTCTATTCTATTCTATTCTATTCTATTCTATTCTATTCTATTCTATTCTATTCTATTCTATTCTTATTCTATTCTGCTCTACCTTCTACAAAGAATAGTCCCTTCTATTATAAAGACAGTTGAGAAACTCCTGTGACAGTTTTCCTACTGTGACTGTCATTCCTATTGCTGAATCTTTCCCCTCCCACTCACCAGCATCCCTGTCTTTTTATCTATACAACTCCCAAAGTTTGTTGGGCCCAAATAGTTTTCAGAAGTCATCAAAAGCTGAAAATAGAAAAAAACCATATTGACCTGCTTAACTTAGAAAGCTCTGACACCTCTTGGTGAAGTTGTGGGTTGGCGTCATTATCCAGATGGTAACACTGCTATCCCTTCCTGACTTTATCCCCTTGCTTTGAAAAAGCCCTTGAAATAGATGACAGAGATAACCAGATCCCTTCAGATGAAAGGGAGAAGGTTTACCCTAAAAGCAGCACCCAAAACCGCTCAATGTCAGCCCTTGATAATCCTTAGCCAGACTGTTATTCCCATCAGATCAAACAAGAGAGAATGAGATTTAGGCTACGCTAAGTGCTGAACACCAGTATCAGAGTCCCACTGCCACACCTTCCAGCAGCTTTTATCTTTTTTCTTTCTCTCCTGCCTCAGAAGAATCTGATTTAACTGGCAAAACCAACTCCATCAGTTGCAGCCACTGTCCTGTTACAACTCAAAAAGCAGCAAAAAGGAACTTGGTGAATTGTTTGGTGGCCTCAGCACTGCTGAGACCCTTCCCCTTCCCAGCAGAGCCCACAGCCGATCTTTGTCAGCTCCTTCTGCTGTGCTTGCTCTTCTGTGGCTTTGCTTGTACTGTTTCACAGAGACAGAGCCAAACGCCACCAGTATGACCAGCCCAGGAACATCTTAACTCTCTTTTCTGCTCAAAAATCAACCAACAATTACTACTCTATCAATACTACAAGGTGAATTCTCCGGCATTTTACTGAAACAAAGCTTGTACAGCTCTACATTAAAAAATGAAAATAAAAGCCTTCTCAATACTCCAAGACTAAATGCATTCGCTATTTTCCCATGTCCCATGGTCGCACCTCCAAGAAAATAATTTAAACATTCTAAAGCTGGGTGTTAAAATGCAATTCATAATCAATAACTTGACCTGAAACACTGAAACAAAAGCTTGGTTCTTCTCAGGCAGTAAGAGTATTGCTAATGGCCAAACCCACAGCAAAGGCATGGTGAGCACTGACTTCTCACCAAACATTAACATCTACGCCAGGCTCCCTTGACTCATCAGCCTTTGGCTCGTGAAGGTTGTTTTGCAAATGCCACATCTCCCATTGGTGAGGATTTCACCGTAACTCTGGGGAAACAACTGATGGGAACTGCAGTGCCAAGGGAATGAACAAGTCATGAAGAAACATCTACTGCCCAGTAGAGGACACAGGTACCTCCAGAGCAGAACCAATCCAGGGAACTACCTGCTTCACGTACCCACTGAGGCAGGGCAAGAGCCAAGCAGCTCTTCATCCTCTTCATGCGGAAGAGGCAGCCACAGCCACCTGGAGCTCCGTACCCCAGCTGGTGACCTCGGAACAACTCATAACCATGGTCAAGCTCTGATCAGCTCAGGAAACTCTTCTCTGCACTCCTGCCAGGAAGCCTGTCCATCCCATTAGGAGCAGCATCCTTGGTAACAAAGGTCCAGGTAGTAAAACGGCAGAAATCACAAATCCAAGGAGAAAGAACGTTTGGAGTCCAGAGAATCACGGTAAAGTTGCCTCAGAGTGTGAGAGAGGAATGGGCTGGGAGAAGTAACCAAAAGCACCAATGGTCATAAAGTAGATGTGATTTCAGAAGCACATTTGGGATGGGAACGGTGTTTCTCTGAGGACAGTTACCAACAAGTCTTAAGGGTGGGATTTTGGGACCGCGACATACAGCAATATGGACGGTGCAGGAAGCTGCTCGCGGCAAAGCAAGGTGGTTGCTGCTGCACACAGCCCGATTTCAGCTCAGCCTTGTGACAAGACGCCTCACTGAAGCGGCTGGGATGCCTACGTGACCACACCTCATTTGGGGAGAGAAATGAGTTCAGTAGCAATGTTAACACTCGAAATGCAGATTTTATGATGACTTTTTTTAAACTTTACCAGTCCTAGCTCAAATGAGCTTTTGTAAACTATGCTGGCAGTACGGAATTCAATTCAGATGCACTGGTTTACCACTAAAATCTTGTATTAAGAAAAGGTAGGCTTGCTCCTGTAGAGGACACTGTAAAAACACTAGTGCATGAGTAGTAATGGAAAAATAAACGGCATCATGGGTGAAAGCAGTATCATCAAGTCTCCAGCACAGAAGAGATCACAGCTGTTGTCATATAAAAAGATGTAATTTATAGTTATATTACCAATGTTTAAGAAGATGGAAGAAACCCTGTTTATGTAATACACAAAACATACTCTTGAAGGGATTAGACTAAATAATGCCCTAAATTCAGCATCTTCCAGTCTAATAAAGGACATAAAACCTGTTCAGCAATCTGTTTCTATTTTAAAAGACAAGCTATGGTATACATTACAAATATTGCTTGTAAAAGAGAGCTATGGAAAGAGGGTTGGTGGGAAGTTCTGCATATATTAATGCTTCATTAAAAATGCCATAAGAAGTAAGGAAAAAAAAAATCTAAGTTTAAGATGCCCTCCCACATAAGGAAAAGGATTTTAAAGCACTTATTAAATTACTTCACTTGCTTGAGCAAAAACATGAGCTTTCTTGGAAATCAGGACAAGCTGATTATATAAGACCCAGATAGTTCTTTTTTAAAATGTTATTTCAACCCATGAAGATTTACATCTACTGTTAAAAGAAAAAAAAAAAGTGCATGATTTGCGCCGTGGTTCTCAAAGGGATCTTAATACGTATGATTTAGAATTACTCTAATTAATTAGTTGATTTTATATGGAATTGTGAATACCAGCGCTACCCTCCCGGGCTCTGACTTGGTCAAATAGAGCCTGATCTAAACTGCAAGCTTCAGAAGAGGCAGGGATCAGCACAGGGTAGAGCCCTGTGCACGCCGGTCCCGATCAATTAGCAGGGCGGCTGGAGGACAGCAGGGCCAAGACTTTTCTTTAGTACGTTGTTAAAAGTCTGTTTGCTCTGCAAACTTCAGGGCAAGGAGGAAAACAGAAAATAGGCTGTGTAAGAGCACTTCTGTCTGACACCAGATCTATTTAATCGAGTGCTATAAAAGTTACTGTAAAACCAAACAGTAAAATCTCCAACAGCATCACCTGTAGGCAGCAGATTCGCAAGAGACCTCTCCGGTTTATCCCAGGTTGCCTCATACAGAAATCAAAGGAACGGTGCGCTGACAGACAAGCGTTAAGTGACAGGGAGGGTTTCTGTGAATGGCCGGGCCCTGGCGGGCAGTGCTGGGGGGCGCGGGCGTCGCAGCGCCCCTGGCAGGTTAGCGATCAGAGCCACTCTCTGGCTCAGGACATCAGCTCGTTATGAAAATGAACCCTTCTCTGGGCCTGACTTTCAACTCTGCTCCAGCAACGGTGAGCTTGGATAAGGGGAATTTACCCACATGTGAACGGTAAAGATAAGGATTTGGCCCTTGAGTGGATGAGCTGTCCTTCAGGCTGGCTCAAATGCTGCCACGTCAGACAGGAAGGTTTCTCTTATGGAAGAAAAGTTGAGTTTTCAAACTTAATTTAAAAAGAAAAAGGTGCCCTGACTGCGTAAAGAAGTGCTCCTTTCAACACAATCCCCGCTCCGGGAGGACGCCTGCAGCAGGGTCATCTCACCTAACTTCACATGCCTGCAGGGCAGCTGTCTGCCTGAGAGCTCCCCTGTCCCTGCCCACACTCCCTTCACTGAGCAGAGAAAATGGAGCTTTCAGGACACAATGCAACTGACCTATTTTAGGTACCTACTTCAGGATGAGATGAATCAGCCCCAGCAGCGCCTGTTTCTCTCTGTTGACTATAAAGGGAATCTGGCTAATATACCTCTGGCCAGGTAAATCCCACCCTTCATGCTGAATACAAGCAGAAAGAAACGCACAAAAATGCTCAGAACACTACTAATTAATCACATTAACACCACGCCGCATATGAAGCATTTAAGATCTACAGAGCGGAAGAAGCACCGCAATTAGCGTTAATATGAAGCTGTAAGGATTCTGATAACACAAGTAAATTAATATCTAAGCAGCAGGCCCCTAGAGTAATTCCACAGTTGGTACAAAGGGAAGTTGCAGAAAATTACCATTTGCAAGGCTGCAACAAACGTAAAGATAATTTCTTGATGTAGGTCAGTGCAGGGATCTGAAGGCTCAAAACATCCAAGGTTCAATTAGCACAGCTGAACAACTACAGGCAGAAAAAGCTTGAACAGGGTGACTGATAAAAGACTCCAGACAAATGAGCAAGACACCTGCAGTTGGACTTAGGTTCACATGAGACACATGAAGAGCAGGCTCAGAAATGTTCCAAAGAAAATATGAGTGAAACATGGTCATACTAGTGACTGACATTTGCCCGCCCACCTTGTGTATGGATAACCGGCCTGTTTAGAAATGACAAATAGGCATGAGAGGAGATGGTCAAAAGGTGAATGCATACAGTGATGCCTACAGAGGTCACCAGTGTCTGCAAAGGAGAACCATCTCCTTCGCTCACTGCATTCAAGTGCTGGTCGGCTCGCCCCTGCTCTTTGGTCCCAGACACGCAGTGCTATACGAGCCGCCAACCAAACGACCCAAGGGAAGAGTCTGCTTGAGAAATCCAGGGTAGTTTATTCATGAGGCTCAGCAAAGCTGCATGAGCAGTACCTGCAAGTGGTGGGCCTGGGGATGGATGGAGAAGCAGCCAAGCGTAGGCAGTGACAAACAGCCTTGCTCTGGCGTACCAAGAGTAGGGAAGAGCCACTGGAGTGCCAACAGAAGCCTTTGGGAAGGACAGATCTTCAAAGCTGCCCTCTCCATGCCCTGGGAGGACAGATGTCCAAGCAATGTCCAAGCACTCCACAGTACAAAGTGAAAGGACTGCAGTCTCACTGCAAAATGCTCAAGTGATAACCTTGCCAAGTGATAATCCTGCTGCAGCACATTCTTGAGATTGCAAAGTTAAAATATTTTAATAGTGGTATCTCATGCAAAATAAATAAAGGATTCAATGAAAGGATTGAAATGAAAAGCTCAAGTATTCCAGATACGCTACTTGGTCTAATGGATGACATTCTCTCTGCCTAAAAGCCTTGTCCCAAGGCTTGTCCCTTAACACCTCCATGGTCAGAACAATTTATCAGTGCCTGAATGTGACCACCAGCAAGCCCATTAACTGAATCAGTCTGGATTAAATTTAATTGCAAGCAAAGACAAAAATGTGTTGTAGTTTAAGGATGGCATTTTCAAATTTGTGTAAAAGGACTGAATAGAACAAAACCCCATCAGTTCTCAAAACGATTTACATTCTTGGCTTTCCCTAACATATCTTAAATTCAACATTGTCAGTTTTGCCAGTACTATCAGGACAGAAATTACAATCAAAATGTTCATAACTAAGCTACATATACAGCTGGATCAGCCCTGTAACTATTATCCATTCCCCTGTAATTCAAGGTGTCATGGCTTGAGATTCAAGAAAACCTAGTTTTGTAGCCAAACTAGACTAACAACACATATGATTTTCAAAAAATACTCTTTTAATACATGCATGAAGAGACACAGTTTGCATTTTAATATTTTGGAAACAAATCCTACGAACTGGTGATCAACTAGTATTGCCTTAACTGGCCTGAGCACTACATTGGACTGTATGGCACTTCAAGAACTGTAAATGTTTATAGCAGACTCCTCCTGGCTGCTTTGAAAGTGTGGACAGATAATGGTTGATTTTCTCAAGCGCAACCACTGCTGGCTGGAACTTAAAAGTCAGCTTTCATGATTTCAGCAAAAGCTGGCAACATCCACACACAGAAGCTCAAGGACAGACTTGGCTCCCAGGCCGGATCAAGCCTGGCACAGCTACGTGTGACAACCTTTCCCGTGCCACTGGAGCGGGTGACACCGAGGTCAGGACAGGACACTGAGAAGATGGCTGGAAGTGTTAGGGTGTTAGGAGCCAAATGATCATCTGAGCCTTGAATCCTGAGGATCCTCGGGCTGGCTCTGTCATGTTCATACAACACATCTGTTCTCTCTAACATACTTCAAAAGTCTGCTTGTTTTGAAAAACAAGACTCTTCATAACTTTTCCTAACATTTTAAGATGCAAAACAGTATTTAGCTATAAATTCATCTACACTAGGACGATTTTAAAAATCTGACGTAATTATCACTTCCTAAAGATCCCGGGCTGATTTCCTGAAGAATAACATTACAGGGGTGTAACAGGGGTCTTCTGTTTTTAAATTCCTACCTACATTTTCATTGCTTAAGCTTCCAAAGCTTCTCTTTTCTGATACAGCAGACAGGACGGCTGCAGCCTTAACCTTCCAACAGTTGAGAGAGGCAGTTTTGCTAAAACACAGTATTAATTTAAACCATCATTGTACATGTTTTCCTTCTTTTGCAAGAGGACTATGTGCTCCTTCCAAAGGCACTGGAGGGTTTGGGTATGGGGGCAGAGGGAAGTGTTTAGTTCATAAATTCTCCCATTTTACAACTCATTCCATCAGTGGAGAGAGGGTAATGTTCTTTATGATCCATCTCCTATATCACATTTTTTCCCTTTTCAAGACCAATCCTGCTGTGCAGATAAGTTACTACACCATTATCATAAATGTAGAGAAGAAAGAAGCATGATTTTTACCGTATGAGAGCAAGCCTGTCTTTTTCAGATGGATGATCATCAAGCCACTGGGAGTAGCGGGCAATGGACCACTCAGCCCTCTGAAACAGAGAAACACAAACAAACACCAATTACACATAAATGTGAAAAAGGGAACACATGCACCAATTTCAGAATCAAAGATGACATAAATGAAGGCCACATGAGGCTCTCTTAATACTGCAGTGATGCAGAATGAGTTAAGGAATCAGCGACAATTAATAGAAGTAGCCCAATACGTTATTTGGGACCTCAGAGGTGATCTCCTGCATCAGTTGTTTGCCCAGTTCTGACAAGGTATGAATCTAGATTTCCTGCACCTTACATGAGCAGGATCCAGGCAATCTGCAGTCTGAGATAAGACCTGCAATTTCTTCAATGATCTGACAGAATATTAAAGAATTGATTATTAAATCAGGTTTTCATGTTCCTACTGTTAAGTAATCAAAATATTAAGTCAATGACCATAACACCTTTGCCACAATAAAAACAAAAATGTGAAGTATGAGCTTGAATACTTTTTAACTAAAATAACTAGCGTGAATTACAATGTCCATTCCTCCTTAGGACATCTCAAAAGCAAAAGACAGGTTGATCTTATTACCTGGAAGGGTGATTTTAACTCTGGCGGTGCTCTTGTAAATAAGAACTGAAGAATAATGCTGAATGGAATAACCTCTCCCAGAGCTGGGCTACTGGCAATATGCTCACTGGTCTGGAACAGCAGTGGTCTGGAAAAATGTAACAATATACTTGTGAAAGGAAGAAAAAGCTTATCTTATGCATTAGAAAAATGCCTATATGGTGGCAATATTGTGTTAGAATAGATTAGTCTAATTTTTTTCCACTAGTCTGCATCTTAGGTTTTCAACACCGGTTCAGTTTGTAAAAATTCACAGAAGTTGCCTATTGTAATTAAACAACACAGGACTGTAAATTTCATATTTCGGTGAAAACACTTAAAGCAACTATAGAACTCACTGTCATACAGAAGTTGCACTGAAAGCAACACAAAAAAGTGCAATTTGGCCAACATTTGCATGACAAAGATTGTTAAATCATAGTTATACTCTGCATAAAATTTAAAAGAACTTTAATCTATTTCTAATTTGCAGGTGGGTGTTGCCAAAAACGCTCTCAGTTCCATCAGAACTAACATGAGGTAACAAATAAGCTCTGAAATACAGTTTGGTCACACTGCCATTGCCAGCTCCTGCGACTGCAACTCACCTGAATGACCTCAGCTGTCTGTAAGATTTTCCTAGGTCAGAGACTCGCCGACACAGGGGTGCTACTGCTAACTCCATCTATAAAAACAAACATTTTAATCTGAATTAGATTGTCTCAAAATATAAAACTTGGTATTGAAGCAGCCTGCCTTTAAGCAATAATCCAGACTTGCAGACCAAGTCACTGACTTCTCACTGGTGGCTGAATTTGAGACAAGAAGCAATCCCATCCTTTCATACTCCGTTGCCCAAGCCAGGACTTTTGCCTTATTCTTGGCAGCACAGTAAGCATCCCAGGACAAGCGACAGCCTGTGGTTAAGAACAGAAGGGGTCTCATGAGCTGAGACTGAAGCTTTGTTTCTTGCAGCAGGTTTATTTTGTTTGTGATGAGTTTACTGATGAAGCGCTTGTGTCAATACCCCAAAAACCTGACTGCAGCCAGGGAAGGAAGCAAATCTAGGCAGGTCTCCACAAACCACTCCTAAAGCATAAAAATGCATACCCATTTCTGCTGGGCACCCTTTCCTTTGGCGAAGGACAAGGTTAAAGTGATTCCTTCCTGAACACTTGGCCCCAAACTTTGGGGCACAAAACCTACGCAGCTTAGACAGAAGGCAGCTGGGACTTATTGCCACAGGGTCATATGGAATCATGGGCAAAAGAACATCAGTGAGAGCATTATTTTCATACTGATTTTCATGCTGTTCGATCTCTGAGTTACAGCGGCCATCTTTAAAAACAAACAATTTTTAAACGCTTTCTGTTTTTTAAGCACTGGAGTTCACCTGCCTTTTTGAACAAGAGCCAGGCTCCACGTGGGTTTTTACATCATTCACACAAGACTAAATTCTGTCACTTTAACAGTGAGAACTCAGAAGTGAAAAAGAACAATTCCTCTTCCAGATCCCAGACTGAACATGAACACTGCATGGCAAAATTTCAGTTAATATGCACGCTAATACAAACACCACCACTCAAAAAACCCCGTAGGTAATTTTAGCCAGGTATGGATTAAGTATTTTTTGCATTCCTGAAGTGTCAGTCAACAGGGGGATGCAAGCTTTATTCTCCACGTATGTTTTTTTAAATCCCCAACTTGAAAGACTATTCAGACTTTGATTTCCACATAATGCACAATTAAGCTAAGTTTCAAAGGACGAGAGCTAAAATAAGTACCAAGATCAAAACCACCATACAATGAGCTCCCCATTTAAGCAACATTGCTGAATGAGTTTCAAAGCGTTTGTGATAAGACACTATTTAGGGTGAAGCCTTTAATATTATTATTCGTTCCAGCATTTCCTCAGACAGAGCTGGCTGCTGGGCCACCGGTTTCACCAAGAGCACGTAACTATGCTGGGGTTCCAGCACAAAAAAGAAAGATGGTGTGGCGAACTACGATGCCATAGTTCATCTAAAACCATAAGAAATTAAATCAGCAATTAATGCAAATCAAGGCCATATACTTCAGGCATCCATCTCAAAAAGCAGGTTGGCAGGGTGGGAGTCATGCCACCTAGTTCTTAATATCTACAGGTTCTCTTCATACTTAGTGGAGGGAAACAGCTGCTCCTGGAGCATGATGCACCTTTCCCCAAAACAGACATCTAAAATGGGTCAGGTGGGTCATGTTGTAGGAATATCCACCTATGTGACACTCAGACAAAGCTGGGGGAGCCAGAAGGCCTAACCCAGGCACCTTCCCTTCCTCTACAGACGAGGGGAGGAGAGCACCTCTGAAAGGCGATGGGCAAAGCCCCGCAGAGCTACCCGCAGGCCGTGCAAAGCCACTGCCCGAGCCTAGGAACCCTGGAGTGCCTGCCTCACATCAAGCACTTCCAGGCCGCTGGAAATCTGCATTTCATATTAAGCGGAAAGATGCAGAAGCAGGAAGTGAATAAAAATCCAGGAAGCGGAAATCGGGATCGATATTTGTCTTCTGCCTTCAGATGAATGCTCCAGCCCTGGGTAACAGCCCGGCTCCCTCCTGCCTACTGCCCTTCTGGCCCCCAAATCTTCTGCTCTAGGCTATGAACTGGCCCCTTTTCTACAGCTGGGTGGGATCCCTTCCCTGTCCCCCTGTAACCCTCATGTCCTGAGGGCTAGGTCACCTCCTCGCAGGCAGGCGCAAGGGGTACCCGTTTCTTGGGCTGAAGAGGATGTACAAGCCAGCCCTGCAGCTCCTGAGCAAGAACGCTATTCACTGGATGGTGCAAAAGGCACACACACGGGAGCCAACGTCCCCACGCTTGAGGAGGAGCCGTCAGCTGCTCTGCCACGTGCTGAATTTGCCGGCCCAAGGCAGCGAGGTTGTGTGCACGCTCCCAGGACAGGCAGGTTCTCCTTGGGGATTTCTGCAGGGAGGTGCTCCAACTCCAACCTGCGATGAGGCTTAGAGCAAGTTCAGCATGTTTTTCCCCCAGCTCCCCTGGGACACTTCTGAGCACGTATGGGAGCCAAGAGGCTGGTCTGCTGGACAGGATCAGGAGCATGCAGCCAAAGAGAGGAGCTAATTCAGTAGGCTTTGCTGCATCATGACACAAGAACCCTACAGACCCTGGAAAAACAAATGGGAGCAAGACCCTGGTTTCTCCAGAGCCTCTTTTCAGGCACCAGCATTGGCTGGGGGCAGCTGGAAGTAACTGAAACCCTGCAGGAGCTGGTGCCCCAGCTCTGGTGGGAGCCGTGGGCTTGCAGCTGTGAAGAACCAGGGAGAGGATAATTCTTTTAGGTGCTTAAGAGAATTTGGTAACAGGCAACAAACTGCCAGTCTGACTTGTGGAAACAGAGATGCAGGGATGAAACTGTACTCGTGAGGGGAAAGAAATCCCAGCATAGCAAAATGAAATTTTGCTTAATAAATTTTAAATTATTGTTTCACTCCTAAAACATCATATGATGTAATGAGATGTTAGTGAAACTTCCTACAGCTTAACCAATTCCTTATTAAAACAAATTTAAGTGATTTCTCTTGAACATACTTGGCAGTTTCCATAAATCAACATTTTTAGTCTTAAGTACTAAAGAATAAAATTTACTTTGGAAAATTCTATTACTTCATCTTCAACCTTTATTCACTGTAGGAAATTATTAGTATTGCTAGAACTAGATAGATTTAATGGCAGCAGATGGTTGATTCGTGAAGTAATAGTTGCCAAAGAAAAAAATTGTTTTTAAGCTTTGCAGCATACTATACCATCTCAAATTGACTCATGAAGAGTGGGAATGAGTGAAAACTAATGTGGTAAAAATGTACATAAACCACAGAAACTTTTTTTTCTTAAAATTTACAACACTAGTCTGCTATGTGTTATAACCCAATCTCTCCAATAAAAGCGATACTTCACATAATAACGAAGATCGTTTTCTTCACTTGAATTTTAGCTACTTGTCTGAGCCCAGTGATGTAGTGAAGTGCTACAGCATCTTTCTGCTGTTACATTCATTTCTGCAGGCCCACTGGGCCGAGTTTTGTGTCTCCGCTGAGCATCGTGCTGGCTGGCACCACTGGCCCAGGAGCGAGTGCTGGGGAGGAATGGTTTGGCTGGAACAGCTGCTGTTTTTAAGGTGCTTGAGTTGGGCAGAGGATGGAGCATACATCACTTCTTGGTTTTGCTACCTGTCATCACCTGAAGCTGCATCAAGTGTTGATTCATGCAGCATGTTTATACTGTAGCAGCTTTTGCTATGATATACAGCTGTAGTTTCCAAAGCATTCTGGTGAGCTTTCACCAGCTGGGTGATGTTCTTGGCTGCCTGCAAGCCAGTATTTGTATCGTGTGTGCAAGGCCTCCCATACAGCCATGTCCTATGGACTGCACATATGAAAGGGTAAGTAGCATTTTTTACTTCTCTCCCAGAACTGCAAATCTGAAAATTCAGATATCCAGGTTAAAACCAGTGTTAAATCAGGTGTCCAAGCAGTAATTTGCAACCACAGAGGCTTGATTGACTAATGTGAGAAAAGCACTAACACAGGATCCAAGAGAAGCAGTAGGAAGTGCAAGTGCCTGCCAAAAAGGAAGGGGCAGCTAGGACAGAGGGCCTAATGACTCTGCCTCGTTTCTTCTAACTCTGTTCAAAACCCATCGCTCTTCCATGATTTATTCATGTTATTTTGCTATGCTTTGCAGAACACAGTAGCAGGCTCCTACCCAACATATGCTTCTTCTCAATGATTCGTGCTCTCTAAGCCCAAAAAGGCTATATTATCTTTTCTTCTCGTATGACCCTGCCATAGCCCATGGCTAGGTGGTCAATTATCTGTTGAACTATTCACTGGCTAGCCATATTGTAAAAAATACATCACATGGCTGGCTTCTCTAATTGGATTATGTTCAGCAACCCAAGGGTGAAGTTAGTACGTAGACTAGATAGAGATAATGCATATATATTGGAGAGTGCTTTGAAAAACCCCATAGTGAAGTTATTGTTTAGAGCCTATTGTGGTATTCTCAAGATCTCTCATTACTAAACAGCTGTTTTTTCAGCTGGAAAATCTTAACATTAAATTTTTAGCAATTACATTTCCTCCTGGCCAAGATGAATTCCAAGTTTTTAAATGTTAACTCAAAATGCTTTCTTTTAGCCATTCACCAGGAGAGAATGTTTTAACAAGCAAGGGAGCATAAGAGCTCTGAACTATAATATGAAAGGAGCCGGCCTTTAAGGGATGTGGAATTTGATTTCTCCCCCATGCAGCAATTCCAAAATGGCTGATGTTTAAGGAAAACCTTCAGCTGTAATACCTCCAAAATAACACACATCAGAAAATAATCTCCTTCCAGTAAGACAGTTAGCATTAAACATTAAGTACATTTTAGCTTTAGTAGTTTCTGTCCTTATGACTACAACTGTGATTACAGCATCCTGCTTCTCTCACTTCTCCATAAGAAACTAGAAAGGAATTTTTTTAGGAAAAATTATAAAAAGCATTTTTACACTTGTATCATCATGTTTGATCAAACGGACAAATCTGTTTACATTTTTAAAAACCCACATGCCTGATATTCTTGCTTTTTTAATGCCACATACGGAATCGGGAAACCAGATTCTGACCACAGGGTAACCAGCAGATAGAAACATTTCTTCTGCACTAGAATTTAGCATTGTCAACTTCTACAGTAAAAATATTTTTCTAGGAAAATTCAATAAACCCAAAACATTTTGCAGTAATTCATTGATAAAGACTTGAAGAGTTGGTGGCAGTGTTAACTATGCCCCATCAAAACTGCTTGAACACAGTACTGAACAATGCCAAAAAACCCAACTATAAATTACAAAATCACACCTAGATAAGAAACATAGGAAGGTATATATAGAATAGTATTAACTCAAACAGGACCAATAAAAATAGTTCACTCGACAAGGCTGGAAGTAGTAAGTCATGACATGAGATGGGGTTCTTGGCACAGACAATGGCTCCTGCCATACATGTCACTCCAAATATAACACCTGTACTATGAAAAGATGGGAAATCATGTCATGCCTTCATGCCATGAGGCATAAAGATTACTTAGTCTTTGCAATTTCTAGACTAGCGTAGTTCAATGCCATTCTGATTTGTATTTGCTATTAATAAACAGCTATTTTCCTATATCAGCTTACAAACTTGATGTAACAGACTACTGATTTCCATGCCAAGTATTACTGTAAATTCCTCATTTCTTCTACATAAATTTCTTAACTGGTTGTGCTTATATTTCATTTTTTTGTATTGTCCAGCACTTCCATCAAGTTTTAGGAAGGCCTGATCTACAAGCCACCAATCCCAAAGTGTGCCTAAGCGTAAGTGCTGTAGCAACTCTGAATACCAAGCAAGTTAAAAGGTCCTCTGGAGGAGGACTGGTACTCCCCAGAAACATAAATGTTGAAGAACCATCAGGGCTTGCTGGCTTGCTTGCCTCCAGGAGAGTATTTTTTTCAGTTTGACTAGTACTGAATTAAAAAGGGAAATTTGGCATTACCTATGTGAATACTGAATTATGGTCACCTTAAAAATACAAAACCAAATGAAAACAAACTGATCCAGGAATTTATAGGAATAGACTGAAAAGTACTCTTGTGCAATTGCCTGCATAAAAACTGAGAGCATGAAAAGATGTGTGAATTCAGCCTCTAGACTGGAAATATTTCAAACAACGAGAGACCCAAGGAACAGCACAGTATGTGATAATAACCTTGCAGCACGGCAGACATTTTCTAGGGCTTAAAATGTTTTTGTGTTCCTGCAAGCACTGATCTTCATGAAATCATATTAATGATATTCAGCCATATTTCAAGCCTATCATACCCCTCTTTACAGCTGCCACGCCAGCACACACCTTGTCTTACTGCTGAAATATCTGTAATGCACAAGATAGCAAAATGCAGTACTGACACTGGAAACAGGGTAAGGCAGAGAATTACAGCAATAATTCCTAACTGTGTAAGTAGCTGAGCCTTACTCAAGAAAATTGGCTGTTGTGCACCTCACTGAACCCAGTTCTAAATGAAGAGAACTTGAAGCATCAGTTTTCCCCCTTCTGTGTAGACACCTGTTGTTTTGAGGCAACTTATCAGTAAAACATGTTTCCAGCACAAAAATTTTCAAATCTGACTCTCAGCCAAAGCTATTCTGCTGAGTATAAGGCAGCTGTAACTCTAACTCTGAGTGCCTTGAAAGAAACGTGCACAAGCACATGAGATACCCCAAATCTGACGCACCCCAAGATTATTTGACTTACTGCATCTGCGTTTATAATAGGACCTCAAATTAACCAAAGCTTCTTCCTAGGTTTCTGCGTAGGTCTTTTGCCTGCAAGTGACCCCAAAATACCAAAAGGGGTTTTAGATCTCAAAAGCCAGTTTTAAGCAGGAATATGCAACCCTTTTTGAGTACAGAAAATTCAAAATGACTCTACAAGACAGAGCACGAGCAAAACCAGTTCATAAACAAACCTCCTCCTACATGCAGAGTGTCTTTCCAGGCAGGTCCTTTCCTTCAGGTTTGGCTTTAGTCCAACAATGTAGTGCCTTTCTGGGACTGAAAAAACCCCTGCACGCAGCATTTATGGCCATTTGGAAAAGTTTGTCCTTCCCATCAAGCCAGCAGCCCAGCTAAATACCTGTTCCCTGCTCTCCTCAGCCCAAAGCAGCAGCAACCTCCCCTTCTCAAGTCTTTTCTTCGACAAAGCCACGTGCCATGGGGACGGGAGCATGGAAGTGAAATGAGTCCTGTTCAGGATTACAGCCACATTTCAGTGAATGTGCCCAGGACTCCTGGCTGGGTCAGCGCAACTACAACCTCCCCAGTGGGGCTACCCGGAGTGCGCGTCATGGGCCCATGCCCAAAACCCACCAGGTTTTCAGGAGGGGCAGACATACCCCAGAAAACATGGATATAAGACAGCCTCCACATACAAAACGGTTTGGTCCTTCTTCTGTTATCCCCAGCAACAGGATATAGTGTCCAGGCCATTCTGGACACCACAGCCCCTGTGCAGCCTGGGACGCCCTAAGGAGCTCTGTGCAGAGATGCTCACGGGCACAGAGTGAACATTGAGGTGGCTGTACGGGGCTGGTTGGACCCAGCCAGTTCTTGTCTTAAGCCCGTTTTTAAACAAGCCAAAAATATGGTGCAATGTGAAGAAAAACACTAGGCAGCCCACAGATGCAGCAACAGTTGAAGGCAGGAGACAAGAATGAATTCAAAGCCCATTTTTTTCTTCCACAGTACAAAAGAAGAGAAATCAGATCATTTATCTTCACACACTTGTCCGTTCAGGAGTTATACTCAGCACAGTGGGGAAGAAGATGCAGATCCCCCTACACTCAGATGAAAACATAACTTCATTTTTCACTTAAAAGGGAGCCCGTGTCAGAATGAGAAAAAGAAGTGTTAAAAAAAGATAAACGAAAGATATTTTTAGCATCGTTATAATAGGCGCTTAGATCAGATACTCTTTACTGTAGAATTAGGTGAAGATATTTCCCAAATTTATACAACTTACTTCAGTGCTGCAGCATAAATTACAAAAATTATCTATATTCCTTCCAGAGGAGGAGTCAAGCGTCCTTTTTTTTTCTCCAATTTTATGCCATTGTCTTCAAAATAGAGAAGGGAAAGGAACCTTCTCACTGAAAGCAATTGAAAGCTTCCCCTTAACTTCCATGGTTAAAAGCTGATTTGCTACTTTTGAGTAATGAATAAAAAAAACTTTACTCAGGAGTATGTAACTCAAGGCAAATGATACAAAGGAGCGACAAGCGGGAGCGGAGATGGCAATGATCCCTTCCTCTCCTACCTCAGTTACCTACCAGCCAAAAGCAGCACTCGGTATGCAGACAGCTGGCGCTAATTCCCTTTTCCACTTGGACAATTGGGACCCTCAGACCAATCTACTGGATGTCTGTATTCTTTGGCAAGTTAATCACACAGTGTTACTATTGATGAATTAAATTTGGATATAGTAGATAATGCAGACAGGTAGTGGATATTAATCTGGCGATTTGTTTTGTCTTTTAGTCCAGTATAAGAGGTAGGTAAAGCTGAGAGGCAGGTAAGTCAATCAGTTCATAAAGAGAATCCCACAAGAAAACTGCCTTTCTGTTACCAAGAGGGATATTGGTATTTCTTTAGCTTGTCTCCTACATTGCAAGGCAGCTGAGCTAGTGATTAACCATTGTGGGCACTGTGATATATAAAACGATTAAGAAAGCGACACACTATTCCGTTGAAAGACAGAGAAAGAATGAAGTGAATGAATGGTGGCAAATGATGGACGTACCGAAGAGGTCAGAGAAGCAGGATAAAATGTCAAGATGCAGCTGCATTTAAATGCAACAGTCACTCGATAAGAAGCTGTCAGACCTCCCTGAATGTGCCTTACGGTGACGAGGGATCTTCAACTACTTAGTGGATGCATTTCTCAGGATATGGTTTCTCATCAGAGAGGATGTTTAGAACTGGAATGCACCAATCTCTACAACTACCTGTTTACACTTTGATGGGGACAAAAGTATCGGTACTTTTCAGTGAACACGGTGAAGTAACAGTAAAAAGCAGAAATCAGTATGAAGGGTACCTGTGCAAAATCTGCCGCAAGCCTCATCTTTCCACCTTCGCCAAGGGGCCTTATTAGACTGGCATTGCGAATAAAAAGTTCAATTGCTCTTTGAGCCATGGCTTCGGTGTTATCAAAGACAAAGTCAAAACACTCAAAATGTCTGAAGTAGTCGCTCATGACTCTTGCTATAAAACCCTGTAGTTCTTTCATGTACAGAGAACAAGGGACATCTGGTTTTCCTGAGCTGGATAATGATCTGAAAAAAAAGAAAAGAAAAAAGAAATGGGGACAGTTAAATTCATCTTTAAAACACAACCAAAACCTATTGGATTCTTTTTAATTTTTTTCCTACCCCATGAAGTCATGGCATGAATTGTAGAGTCTCATTTCTACTCAGAACAAAGAGCGTGTAGCTCTCTCTGAAACTGTAGTAAAAAATATCTCTTTATCAGCCATTCCCATCCTAACAAGATAAAGGAAATCACCCCACTCCTATCCAACTTGCAGAGCCTCCACCAGTTTGGAGCCTAAACCTCAAATCCAGCCCCTAAATTTAAATGTCCCAGTTGTTGATTTGAAACTCTAATAATGGATCAGAAAATACAAGCACATGTCACAGGGTTACTGGTTTAGCCTACCCCAAACCTGTTTTCTGTAGAGAATTAGTTTCCTAAATTCCTCCAAACCCAGGATTATGAAGTCAATCTAAAGTCAAAACACAGAAGCAGCACAGAAGCTACAGGGCACAGAAATAAATCACCTTTCTCTTTCTTTGAATCACAGCCAGGCAAAAGAGCTCTTCCAAACTCAGGAACCTGAGCACACAGGCTATCTAACAAAACTTAGCCTTTGGCTGGAATCCATTTAACCATCTAGAGAGGTATTGTGCTAGTGATGGTAAAAGAAAGATGGAGAGGGTAAAATATTCTTTAAAAAATGATCTTTGCAGATAAAGAATACTGGAAATTTTAATTAAAATGCTACGGGAAAAAGCTTAATACGCTAAATCTGAGCTTTCAATTTAAAGGATTTTTTAAACCATTTCACATTCCATAACATTTTAGAAAAATTTCTATGTAACTTTGAATCAGAGGTTATATGCTTTATTTTGAGAACCTAGAATACTGACAGTTCTGAAGACTGTCCACAAAAAATAAGTTTTGAAAGCAAAAGGGGATTTTTAAGCACAAACATGGCCTCTGCTTGGCTTTCTTCTTCTGTTTAAAATGAATTTTACTCAAGAGATATGCAAAAAAAAAGGAGGTGGGGGAGAAGACAGATGCTACCTGATTAATTTGTTTCAATAGATAGGTGTTTTTCTGCTTTCTGTGTTCATTGACCATGAAGCATAGCCTTCCCCTCAACAAACAAGCGCTCTTGCTCCAAGGACATTGTGGCAATAACAATCTATTATGCATATGCAGGATGTCTTACTAAAGCAATGGTAAATTTAAAAAGTATTTCTAGTTACCCAGAAAAATCTTCCTGGTGCATAGTGATGATAATAGCTTCCACTGAATCTCCTACAGAGTTCAGTAATGGTTGAACAGCACTACCCATTAGATCATGGACTGCCTAAAATAGAATAAGAAAAAGGCAGAAGTAAGGAAACAGAAACTAGAAGCATTTGAATTTTGACATCTCAAAAATACCTTCACAAACAGTTCATTTCAACAGTGCTTTTTATTATTCTGCATTAGAAACTGCTAAATAGAAGGACAAAAGCCTAAGATAACACTTCTCTTTAATTGGTTTTACCAGTAAAGTACAGAAATAAGGCTGTTTACTACTTCTATGTAAAGCCACTTTGTTCAGCTGTTCATTCCCCAGACACGCAGGCTGCCCTTCATTCCTCTGCACACAACCCCTCCCAGATTAGTGCACAGCAGGACAGATGTGGATAGCTGTCATCCACAGAGGGCTGCACGGCCATCCGCGCTGCCCCCCAGGAAAGCACCAGGTAGCATAAAAATCACAATTTTATGTGTGTGTCGGGGGGGCGGTTAAGGGGGTGATGAAGGATCCAGTTATTGCTGTGTGAATGCGGCAGAGAACGACATTTATTTTCACAGTCAGGTGACATCTGGGTTCCAACCATTACAGGAATATTCTTGAATACAAACACTACTCAAGCAGTGATTTGGCACATGCAACATATATGTAGCTGCAGATACAACAAAATACAAATTTCAGAATGCTTATATACCTTTGACTAACATACATTGACACAAAATAATACCTGGGAAAACGAGTGCCCATTTTAAGTGTAACAAACAGAGCAAAGCTCAGCCCTATCCCTGCAGCATATGGACATTCAATTACCTTTAAGGCAGTTGTGACTGTTTGCTCAGCAGCTGCTGGAAATGAGCTCTGATTGGTAATGACCTAAAAATTTTAAAGTAATTGTTAATAGTCAACATTCAACAAATTACTAGAATCCATAATATTTAATTTAATTTAAAAACATATTGAGTTATCCTTAGTAATGAGTTGTTTACATAGGTATAGATAACTATCGAATGTGCTTTATACAGACAGAATTTTCAATGCACCAGTAACAGACTTTTGCTCTCAGATTTCCTATGTACTCTGCTTCGGCCTTGGCAAAGAAATGATGCAATTGAGTTCAGCTGAAATTTGGCTGAAGGGTTAACAGAATCAGAATAAAAATAAGTGATACACTGCTAAGTATAGAATTTATGGGGAACTATACAAGCAGTTGTATGGCAAGTATTTGAAAGAATGGTTGTTCTTTCTCAGTATTATGACTATTACAATACTACATACTACATAGCTGTTTGTGTACAGCTAAATGATACTAGAATTGAAAGTCAAGGAATGATCTGAAGGAATATTCTACCAATTTTCGTACAGTTATGAATATGCTATACAATAGTATTTTTAAGCCAGATAACTACTGAACTCAAAGACTGAATCACATCAGATCTCCCTCCAACACTAAGGCACATGAGGTTCATTACTAAATACATCAGAGAAAGCAGACTTAAAAGTTGATCTACCATCTGTTTGCAAAATCCAAGCAAATTTTATAGGCTTTTTAGCATTTTTGAACATTCTTTAAACATATCCACAGTCAGGAGTACTCATGATCTCTTTTCTAATCAGGCTAGGATTTAAACACGATTAACTACAACTATCACTATATCTGTTTTAATTTACAGAGACTGTGTAACCACTGGCATCACTAAGCCAGTAAATTGGAATTATTCGTAATTGTGCTTAGTGTTGAAACCATTTCCAGGCCAGACTTTGGTCACAGCAACAACGCACGGAGGTATTTGTGAGGTGCTGCTTTTCTTGATTTCATCCCTTCCTTCCCCTTTTCAGTTTGGCCACAAATGTAGGAAAGCAGTGAGGGTCTTCTGAGAAAGATAAGCTTGGGCTGGGACAGATGCAGATGAGGGCTATCAGGCTGATCAGTACAAAGACAGAGCTTACTTGATAAGAGAAAACAGAAAGAGTTCAAATTGTTTAGGCTCACAAAACAACAGCTATGAGCAATAGCTGTAGGCACAAAACAACAACAGCAGTGCTTACAAGCTACAACCAAGTCTCAAAGAGTTGTACAAATCATAGAATCATAGAATGTTTTGGGTTAGAAGGGACCCCTAGAGGTCATCCAGTCCAACCCCCTTGCAGTGAGCAGGGACACCCTTAACTACTGGTCTTGGTTGCACAGCAAGTTGCAGCTCTTAACCCAAAATTGGGCTGTATTCATCAGAGTTATCATCAGCTAACGGGAGAATATGGATACAATACAGCAAAGAAGTTAACATTATGGCAAGAAGAGAAACACTAGAGGAAGCCTACCTTCAGAACTGATTGGTGCAGTTTGTACAGCGAATTAACTACAGCCACGTTCCTCCTCTGTCCCTCCGTGAGCGGTCCGATCACCTGGCTGGCATCTCCTTGAGTAGAGAGCTGCCGTGATTGCAGAAATTGTTAAAACAGTACAAACTCATTAAACAAGGCATCACCACAAAATTACAGTTAACTACACTTAGACCACAGCAGAAAGCCATAGGTCTTCATTACCAATGTTCTTCCCTTTAACTCTTGTCTTGATTCATATGATCTTCTTGTCCAGATAATACAAACTGAACAACAGGAACAGGAACCACGGAAGACTGTTGTCTCAGCTCCCAAACCACAGCACTCAGGCCCAGATCTCCTGGAGACACCTAGTCCCAGCATAACTTCAACTTCTTAATCTAAGAGCCAGGTGAAGTCACCTACCTGAGGATGCAGTATAAATTAGCAGCAGCAGAACTGAAAGGGTACAGTTTTCTCTATACTCTCAGTCCTTACTTCTGACAACCATTCAAGCCTCTCCTTAAAACCTGTTACTGCATATAGATGGCTTACAGCTTTGTACATACTAGTGGCTTGTAAATGACCAGGAAAATAGAACTGCAAGGACCAAAACTGCTAGTCCTGTCATTACAAAGAGTTCTATCCACGAATCTTTCAGCAAAATAAAAAAAAAATTACTTCTTCATGTTTAAACTCCACAAAGCATGCATTTTTTTATCATTACCACAGAAATCAAAGTTCCAGGGTGATACATAAATAGCAATTAACCACAGAACAGTCCCATAAGGATACCACAGTGTATGTTTATATTTTAAAATAAAAGAAATTGTAATTGGGAAACAAACGGAAATTTTCTTGGGCACCAAAAGCTGCAGAAATACAAAGAATTGACAAAAGGCTATGTGAATTCTAGAAGTATGTCTAAATATTACAGCAAGAATAGCTATTAACAGAAGGCCTTGCTGAGATATAATTATCTGACTAGTTATCTGTATTTCAGGATATAAAATTATCCTCCAGGAAACTCCTGAAGATGCCTAGCTCCAAAAGTCTCTCAGTAAAAACGTATTCAACTCATTGAACAAGTCGTCGAGAGACTTTTATAAAGTCAGTCTTTAAGCACAGTTGTAGGCCCTACTGAAAGCTCCTAAACTAAAACTGAATATACAGCAACAATTGTTTAAGAACAAAAGGAACAAACACAACATGAAAATTTTTAAGTTACGGGAAACAGTGAATCTTTCCTAGTGAAAAACTATTCCTGTACTTCCCATAGCTTCCACTCAGCATAAACACAGAGAGGATGCCAGCAAAGTTATCTAGTATTTGCCAGCGCTGCTAATAATGAAGTTTTAGACAAGTTCTTGCAAGCACACAGGGGCTCAAACTTATTCACAGCATTACAGTGACAGTATCAGTTCTTTTCCCTTTCTTCAAATTTAGGGATTATTTCAGGATAAATAGGTTTCTGATGCCTTTGCAGAGGGAAAAATCTTTTCCAACACATCTTCAATTACTTAACATCAGAATGCACCTTTAGACCAGCTGACAAATATATCATCTCAGCATCTTCCTGCCTTCCTGATGAGCAGAGCCATGTGAGCTACGCACATCTCTCTTTCCTTCCTGACACTTCTGTCTGACAGACCTGACTGGTTTTAAAGAATTCTGCTTCTCATGTGTACAGCTTCACAGATTAATAACAAAACAGCTGTGCAGAGAAACACTCCGTCCACCCAGCTGACCACCCTCCCAGACCCCAATAACCTTTTTTTTCACACCTTTTTTAAAAACTGTACAGACTATTCAAACATAACCCTTCTGCAGCAACAAGGAACTCTTGCAGTCAGCAATAGTGCACAACGGCTTCACAGGCAAAGTCTAAAAATGCCTTAAAAGCAACCATTCCGAAATTATTTACGGTATTAAATTCCCTTAAATTAATCAATGTGAACTTTGACAGCTAGAGGTGCTGATCCGTTGTGTATCTTAAAATAAAATCACTGGTCTAAGACAAAGAGGCTTGGAAAACTCGACTCTTGTAGGAACTGGGCAGCCCAGGGCTCCCTAGGACTGCTTCTCCTGAAGATGTGCCATGGGAACACCTGGCATCTCCATGGGTAGGTGTGCCCTGCCATCATGGGAACCCTTGGCACCTCCATGGGTAGGTGTGCCCTGCCACCTACAGTAGAAGTCTCAGGTGGTCATTCCAATCTCTTGCTCTCCCCACAATGATTTCTGTGACTTTGCCTTGAGGCAGGAAGGTCCTGCACTGACTCTGTCCAACATGGTTCATGTACATACATTTTGTCACTGGCATGTATCTGGATGTCAGGTAGTTTATCACTATCCCGATATTCCAATGCCTCAGACTGAACTCTTGACACCTCTAATATCCATTGCACTACCATGCATCCAGGTAGGAAAATGCATCATTGGGTCTCCCCGTTTCCAAAAAACCATGCTTATGGCCCATTTACTTTAGACACAAATCATCCCTCAATTTATTTTCCATCATACCAGCTTTTATCAGTGATTCACATTCATCACTCTCATTTATACACCAAGTACTTTTGAAGTTCTGTGCTGGACACAGCTTATGCATTTAAGCCCAGCAGTAATATAACTCTTCCTCTGTTATCTGCGCACTGGGGATAGCACTGCGTAAAGAGGTTAAGTCAAGTAAGTGTGAAGCCTAGCCACATTCACTCAGCTGAAAGACACAGTCCACACAGCTAAAAGACACACTTCTTTTTGACGAGGGCACTAGAGACAAAATCTGACGCCTTTTTAATCAGTTAGATTTATCCAGCTATGCAGAAGGCCAGGAGGGTGAATTTACGCTAAGCAGAAATAGGGAGGACAGAAGGGGTGACTTCATCCCAAATCAGAATCTATTTTGGGAAAGAAACAAGTAAAAGACAAAGCGTAGCTGAAGGACCAGATCTCATCTCCAGGGAACCATCAGTCACCCTGGGAGTTAGTCTGGCTTGAGCCTGCTAGCTGAAAAGAAAACAGAGGAAAAGAAACCATGCTGAAGCCAGACCCGCATGAGCAGTAACAACAAGGACTGTAACTGTTCCACTTTTCTGTATCTGTCTTTAAGTATAGCAACTGATTTCTTACGCTCTTCAACTTTAGTTGCGTAAACTGTTTCTACTTTTACCTCAAAGCCTGTGTACTATTTACAGCAATTTCACGGGCACTAGCAAAGCAGAGGCACCCTGCTCCCCAGCAAGTGGCAGTTCTACAATGGGTGACACGTCAGGATGAGCTCCCTTTGCCAACACGAGCTACCGGCACACTGGCAACATGAGGTACTGGTGAGGAAGAGAGGAGAGAGGCAGAGAAGTCTCCCACCAGTGAATATTAGCCAGGACTTTTGTATCATGCATCCAGGCACTAGGACAAGGGCTCTGCCTTGTGGTACCCTGAAGAATGTGAACGTGAGCTTCCGTCCCATGCAGCATTTCAAGAAAACTCAAAGGGCAGCTGTTAAACTGAGCAAGAAATACTGGAGGTACTGCCTTTCTGACATGTATATGAGGACATTCTCTAAAGTAGGAGGTTGAAATTTGCAGGTTTAATCCAGTAGCTGACTAGCTGGAGGAAGCTGCCTGGAAGACTTTTTTTTTTCTTAAATCTAATTCAACAGAATCTGAGGACTAAGTAGTAGATTGGGTAGTTTATTGAACCAAAAAGGACACTTGTAGAAGCTGATACACAAAAAATGTGTCATGAAGAGGCACAAGCTGACTGAAGGCCATCTGACTTGCCTGACATGGTTGAGAAACTGTGCTCTCACCAAATTCAGAAGTCCTTCTGGAAAATAGTTCCTTTTTGTTTGTATCCTTCAGTACACTAACGTGGTTACACTGCTTTACCTGCAGAGATTGCAGGTGCCTCACATTGGGTCAGTAAATTGCCCAATACAGAAAATTTCAGGAATGATTCACCTGACCATATGCAGGAAACCACGAAGTAGAGAAATAAGCACTTCTATTGAGTAGTTCACCTAGCCTGTTTTAGAGACCCCGCTTTAGGGAGAGAGTAAATGCGCCCTGTATTTCCCTCTGCTAATTATAAAGGGAATCTAAAGCAGTACCGCAGATACATACAGGTAGCTATACTGCCTGAAGTCATGTCAGATGAATTCTCACCCTATAGATGTATTTGCACCCCTTTGCATAGACACGCTTTGGAAATGTATCTTGGAAATAACTAGATCAAGTGTTCTGGATTTTACTCTTCCCTATGTTTAATACCTAAGAGCAGACATATCATTTGACAGCATAGATTTGATCTCACATATTGAGACATGTGCTATGATAAGAGTGCTTTGGGTTTAAATTCTTGTTTTCACCACGAAGCACTGAATGCAGAATTTAGATTAGGATGTGAATCAAGTCATCAGTTCTCCCTCGGGTTATAAAAAAATGCTAACTGCGTTTGTCTTGTTCTTGTAGAAAAGCTCAGACTAACGATACATCTTTCCCCATAATTTGTTTAGTGTTTCAAAGTGACTAACTTCCCCTCCTTCAACAGGTGGCAGCTCAGAAGAGGCACTGATTTGTGAGCTGCTTTGCTACCATTCCCTTCACAGACTAAACATTTTGTGAAAAAGCTCAGTTTCACACCAAGTAACTAAGATCTTGTGTGCATCCTTACTGACAGGTTTGGAAAACTCCATTTATTTGATTCGTCTACTCTAAAACAGCCTCAGCAAACCCACTCTGTAAAGAGCAGAAAACAGCATTGTAATTTAGAAGGAGTACAGAGAAGATCTTAAATCAAAATAAGACGAAAGTAGTGCCTCTCAACAAAGCATTTGATCTAACTCTAGGATCACTGGACTAATGTGTTTTGATAGCACAAGTTGAACTCCCAATTGTCAAGCTGACATTTCCGAGAATAAATACATTCCTAATAGAGGCAGCTGATGTGGCCATACCTCTGGCAGAAAGCAATCAATCCATCTGGTACTTGGCCTCCTGCCTGATCATAACAACTTATTATAAAGCACAGAATCCATTTACAGAGTTTCTGAGTCAATAGGGCTTCGCCCTGGGATTTCTCCCATAAGCTACAAATAATTGGGATGTTTTACT